CGGTTTGGCTTCAAATAAGTACATTTGTGCTAATGTAATATAACATCACATGAAAAGTGTCACCAGCGTAGGATACTTAAAATATTAGCACACAATGTTGTTTTTAAAACAACTCAGTTGACTTTTGGTTTAACACTGGACATGAACAGTGAGCTTCCAGTTAAAGTCTCGAGTCTGTGTGACCCATCCACCTCTACTCCCACCCGCCCTTTGCAGATTTTCTTGCTCTTTATACTATGGTAGTTGCCCACAGTGTCAACAAATGCTGACGCCCAAGTCGTCTCATACTGATGCTAAAGGGTGCCTCTGTGTGTTCGTGTCTGACGTCATTGGGCCACTGACCAAGTGTTGGTATTTGAGGAGTTGGGAGAGTGACCAGGATGACAAACAAGGTATAACATGTTAATTAGTGAGCTTTAGAGGTGCTGCTGGTGGATTGCTACACAGCTAGCTAGACAGCTGTTTCCAGTTTTTGTGCTAAGCTAAGCTAACGGCTGCTGGCTCCAGCTACATAATAGAGGTCACGTCGCACACTGGTCCAGAGAATCCATTACAGGTCAAATTTAAATGAGACAAGGACACATTACATCACTCACTGTGAGTGTTTCTACAGTCTGACCACTAACTGACATCGTCAGACAATCTTTTGTTTGTGGACATTATGGTAACAAACAACATGCTTGTATTTCCAGGAAAGAATAGCCGTAAGTCTTTCATGGCTTTTATACATTTGTTGGATTTGAGGATAGTGAGATTAAAAAAAAAAAAAAAGTATTATATGTTGTATTATTGATACAATACAGCGACAGAGCAGTATCACTCTCACCACTCTAAACCTCAAAAGAAAATAAGGAATCCTGCCTTTATTATTTGTTATGTTATTAGTTTCAGATTTACCTCGTAATTTTGCATTTCTTATAAATTGATTTCACTGTGCTGCTCTCTCATGTAAGTTCATGCATTTCAAATGAGAATCCATGCATAATGATATTATGATACAGGTTCTGCACAGATCTTACAATTACATTCTTGGTATTAGGCTGATGAGCTTAACCAGAGAGACGTACTGAATACAAGAGTGGAAGAAGCTTTTATTTCTGAATAATTGAGATTATAACAAACAAAGAGTACAGAGGGGAACAGTCAGAGCTGCAGTAGTGTGGATCCTTAAAGGATCATGTAAAAGAAAAGCTGAGAGAGGGAAGGGTTGGCTTTATTCCACAGGGGCATGTTACCATCTTTTACTTTCTCTCCATTGTGTCTCTGTGATTTAAACATGGATATTTTAAGAGTGGATGTTAAATTATCCTTGCTTAGCACTTGAGATAGATATATTATAAAGTGTTACTATTATTATTTTCATTTCTAGTTATTGGTCAAACAAGCTAAAAATGTCAGAAACTATCAGCCAATTTACACTGAAGAGAGGAAAATGCTAATGTTATTCAGGCAAACATTATAGAGGAGAGGGTTTTTCAGAGCAACAAACAATGTTAGAAGCGATGAAAGCATTGATGAATTACTGACTTAAAAGCCCAGTTACTTTCTAATGTTGAAAATATGGAGTTTATATGCTTAAATTAGCATTTTGAGCCTTGCTAAAAGCTACAAAATTAACATCAAACAGCTGCCCAGAGTTTCTACACCCAAGTTTAAGTGGTATCAAACCGTCTAGTCTGTTTGTTTGCTTGTGTGAGTTACATGAAGTCTTTGATTATGAATGGTAAGTGGTGGTAATAATCAGCATATTGCATCAGCTTCACAGAGGAAGCTCAGGACAGCTTGAACTAAATGCCATCACTGCCCTTTAATATTTTTCTGTATACTGTCAGATCTGGACAGGCCTAGTCTTGTGTAGCCACAGTGTTGTGTCAGTGCTTAAGAAAGGGGAAAAACACTCTGACTTGTTTGTATTTCTCTTAACCAATCACAATCATACTGGGCAGCACTAAGCCCAGGATGCAGCGACAATGTCCTTGCAAAATAGTGTCGGGGAAGAACACACCACCTGACAGGACTAACTGTTAGCATGTTATTAGCAACATGGGGTTTTCCGAAGTGTGTTGATTTACTTTAAAAACAATTCACTGAAAAACAGGCGTGCTTTAGTGCGTGGTCCAAATCTTTGTCAAAACATGCTATTTTCAGCATGTAGGTTATTAACTCTGAGGCTGTTGTTTTTTTTTCCATAGCGAAGGCGATTTTGAGCCAATGTCATGCTTATAGCCACAGTCTACATCCGGTGAGTCAGACTAGGACAGACCTAAACAAGCAGGTATCACCCCACAGATATAAACGAGATCCCGGGGTGAGTGTGATCACTGCTCTGCCTGCTTTCCACTTATTCAATTAGTGTAAGCTTCACCATAAGCCCTTTTAACATAGGATGTATTAGCACATGCTCACAGTTTACTGGAAGGAAAGGTTCACTGTATGGTCAGAAACAAAATCACTTTCAGACTTGGTTTTCATTTTGTTTATTAGACAGTAAAATTAGGGTCACAACCATAAATGTTCTCTTTTCTAATTTCTTGAAACGGCGTGGCATTACAGCCTCCGCTTTGTTGCTCTTCTGCATGTAAAATACCACTGGCAACATATGGAGCCATTAAAACTGATGACTGAAAGTTACTCTGTCACATGATTATTTTTTACCTTCTACACTAAAAATATAAATCAGACCATCAGCTCAAATAAACCCAGATCAAGGTTTTATATCTAATGTATTGACAAAGAGTCATGTTGAGCCTCATCCATAATCTATGATGCCCTATTGCTGTTGCAGTCTATATTGAGCCTATTTCTCTGGGGAGATACTAAGTGAGAAGGATAAAGAGCATGTTGTCAGCGAGGTACAGTAGGTAAAGAGAAGCCAAAACATGACACAGTCGCTGTTTGTCTCTGTGTCTCTAACTGGTTCCAGCTCAAGAACTACCATGTGGGAGCACCACATGAAGCACACTCTGTACTAACAAACCACGTGACATCTTCAAATCAGAGACTAACAGTCGAAACGAACAAATGGCATTCCCTTGGCATTATCTTCAAAAGGGCAAATATTCAGCTACTGCCAGTGAAAAGGCTTGTCTGTGGAGCAGGCCACTGTTTAGGTCAGCCTCAGGTCTCACTCTGTCCCTCACGGCTTTGTCTCATTAAGACATGGTGGCTAGTCCAGGGGTTAGCGCAGGGCCATGTCTCTGAAGCCAGCAGCAGGAACTAGAAGCCCGACACAAGCTCGTGGCAGTCTAATGCCAGTAAAACAGCAAAATCAACAGCTTGGAACAGCTTGGAAATATTTCTTTCAAGGACTGAGTACAAAGGCAAACAATATGAAGAACTCCCTTTCCTCATATATGCAGATAAGCATCTTAGCCTATAGGAGAGTATCACATGCAGTGATGTCCTTAATAAAACAGAGTGCACAAAGTCTTCAGCATGTCCCTGCAGAGTACTTCCATTTTAGACACCTGGCTGTTTAAATCACCGTTAAGGCCCTGCAGATGGTCACTGTAAACAGCGCACTGGATCTAAGCTTCAATGTCAATAGAGCTCTAAGGACTTAAGGTTTTAAACCATAACAATGTAAACAGTATGTCAAATGCATGTGCAACATTTCTTGTTATTCAATGAATAAATGCAACACCCATATCATAATGTATAATTTAATATCATCTGGGATTTGGTTCTTGTAATATCAACACATATTAAATTAAATGTTGACTTTACCTGGTCTTCTTTCTCAGCTTCTACTAGTGCCATTTCGATAAAATGACCAGATCCAACCAGGGCTACAGGCAATATATCGTTATGACATCGATATACTGATATGAGACTAGATATTGTCTTCCGGATATATTGTCTTTTCCTCGTTTTAAAAGCTGCATTACAGTCAAGTGATGTAATTTTCTGAACTTACCAGACTGTTCTAGCTGCTCTACCATTCGCCTTTACTCACTTGGTCATTATATCCACACTATCAATGATTGTTTATCAAAAATCTCACTGTGTAAATACTTTGTAAAAGCACCCTTCGATATCGTTGCAATATCCATTTCAGGTATTTGATCAAAAATATTGTGATACTTGATTTTCTTCATACTGCCAGGAACCTACATCACGCTACTTGTTTGGTCATCATATTCTGCTGCTTCCTAAAGCACCAATAGTGCTGTCCCCACATTATATCACTGTATATCAATACATAACTACAATATTTGTCTTAAAATATGACATTATTTGAGTTTTATCTGCATAACCCAGTGCTATTTACCAATCTGGAGAGTTAGGTCGATTTAATGGTTTGTAGAAACAGTACTGTATCATGACATATATTGCAATCATGATTTCAAATTATACATTCTGTAATATGAGATTTCATCTGCCCACTCCTAATGTGTAACCATGTGTTGCTGTCATTTTATTGGTCTGCTCCTCTACCTATGAAATGTTTGCTGGGCCTTACTGTCTGAAGGCCCAGCTTGTTCATATGTTAACTCAAACTAAATGCACTCAGATATGTTCTTCAGCTGATCTTACTAACCTCTGTGGGTTGTTTGGTGAGGATGAAGCACAATGAACTGACATGTTCATCTGATGCTTAAAGTTTCTATGTCACCTTTTAAATCCCTGTTACTGAATCTGCTGAGACTGTTCCTTCTCTTCAAGAGTGTTGAGGTTGAAGATGCCGGCCGACAGTTTAATATACCTAGTGCTAAATAAGTGATCCATACGCTGAGTGAGCAGGTGTATACAAGTGAAACTTTGGTTCCTTACCTACAATTTACCTCCAACATAAAGATGAAGTAAAGTTCAGGAGCAAATTTAAACCATATATTGAGAAAAAAAACTCTCAAGATCCTCTACAGCCAACCTATGGTCTGTCTTTGTTCCTTAGTTTGAGACAGGTAATACATAAAAACCCCAAGACAAATCGCTGTTGATCAGGCCTATTCCCTGTCTGTTGTGACTGGTCATGTGATGTGTGTCATCAGTTGACTCACCTCCTCAACCAGAGCCAGCATACGCCGAGTGCTCTCGAGAGACTGTGGGGACAGAAAGAGGGGGCAAATAATTACTTGAGAGTTCACAAGAGAGCGAATACAGACAGCCAGGATATCACCGTTAAAAAGTATCATTGATGTATCTAAGTGTGTTACGATAGAATATTGAGGGTTTCAGAAACACATTTGGAAGGTGAACAAAGGAGAAGAAAAGTCTGCGAATAATCAAATGCGCAGACAGACAAATTACTGATACTCAGTCATATAATTAGCCTTGATTATTCCTCTCCTCTCCTCTCCTCTCCTCTCCTCTCCTCTCCTCTCATCCAAGGATTAATTATCTGATTTCTACCTTTTGTTTGCTAACTTTCCACCCTCTGCAGGATCCCTCCTATTGTCATCCATTTCTTAAACCAAACACTTTTTCATACCTAATCCTCATTTCACTCTCCCCCTGTATTATCTCCATCCATCCCTGCCTTCCTTATTTCTCCCTTCCTTCCCTCCCATCACATCCATGGAGCCTCTTGGCCTTGCATTATCTCCTCATGAATGTTTAATAAGGCCATTTGAGCTGCTCTATTATTCTGCTGCACAGAATTATCTGCTCTTCCTGAGCTCCTCTCAACTCATTAAAAAGGCCAAAGTTCTCTCTTCCCCAAAAAAAGCACAGTCTTGATGAAAGAGACTTGGAGAACAAATTGCTAAAACAAGGGAGGGTCACATTTAAGCAGCTGCGTCTGTCAGCCTGCAAGGCTCTGGAGCTACATTTGTGTCCTCATGAGAACCGGAAATCATTGTCATGTAATAGAACAAAATCAGTTTTGGCTGCCGCATTGAGATCCTCACAAGTTTTTGTTTTTATGCTTTTTCTTGTGTTTAGTTAAGTCATATACTAGTGCACAGTTACTTTTTTTGGACGAAAGTAGATAATGGAATGGAAACTGAATTGTGGGTTTTTAGCTGTGATATTAGATGCAAATGTTTATGACAACACAATCTCACTCCGACCTCGTCACATATTGATGTTTGGTCATGGACTTTCCACATCCAGATATGACGTGCAAGGTACCCTGGGTATGTTGGTTGTTCACGTTCTGGGATACCTTGTCGAGTTATTCCTGTTAGGTGTATTGTTTTCCTTTAAAATACACTTCCGTTGTCACAGGAAGTTTACCCTTAACATACTGTCATACTTTCTATAGAGAGGATGTTTGCATTTGCCTTCCCCTTTTAAGCCAAGTAACTGTGACCACATCTATCTTCATCTGACTGAAGACTGGTGCCCCAGCAAAGAGCAGAAAATAAATGAAAATACAGATGATGATGTGTCCCACATTATGATGAACACAACACTTTTTCTTATTGAGATTACTGTAATAATTAAAATCTAGTGCAATTTAAAGAGCCTACATAACAAGCAATACCTGAGGATATTACAATAGGTTTTGTTAAATGTGATGAGTGTTACTGGGGTGTTCAATTACAAACTAGAAAACAAATTAAAGCTTGTTGATTTATAAGTCAGACTTAAAACTCTAGCAGCCACCTCAGCAGCTAATGCAGGAGGATCTTATGGGATCCCACTGGACTGAACCACTCACTGTTTTTTGCAGACAAAACCCCACATTAACTCATATTTACTTAAAATATTATGTGATGCATTATCATTGTTTTCAATATTAGAGCAGACAACTGTGTTTGTGTGTGTGGGTGAGTACGTGAGCATGTTTATGCAGGTGTACACAAGTGTCCATGTGTGTTCTACTGTACCTCATCGGCTATCTGGTCTGCACGCGTCTGCAGGTCGGCCAGCTCATTGCGCATGTCTGATTCGTCGGCCATGATGACTGTTAAACTTCGACCTCAAACAAGGAAGACTGGGGAGAGAGACAGAGAGAGGGAGGTTAGTGCACCAATGACACTACAACATAAAGCTGTGTGACAGATGTTTGTACAGCATGTGACCTGGAGTGCGAGGAAAGAATCACAACATTTTAGAGCATTAGTTGGTGCTGAGTACGAAAACAGCCCTGCACTAAAACAACACACAGGGCTGTGCTGGTGTGGCTTTGTTGCTTCAGCTACTAGTAAGACATGATGTACAATTCAGGAAGTCCAGCTTGAGTAACAGATCTTTTTCATGCAGAGCTCAAGCACAGCTCTGATCCTTCGTTATATACCGGCTGCTTGTGATGACGTGAGGTCACAAACAAATGACAAAATATTCATAATTATCTTTTTGATTTCATGGCATTTTCTGTCCTAATCTGTGTTCAGATTCATCTCCAGGTTGAAGAGGTTGTTCTGTAACAGCAAGGTCAAAGGTTCAATCACTCTTGGTAGCAGCTATGGTCGATGTGTCCTTCAGCAAAACAGTGAAGAGCTTTTTACACCAGACTTGACCCTTTTCTGAAACCTGAAGTTAACACTTGAAAAAGCACCATTACACACTCACTAGAACTGCTTTGTGTTGGGCAGAAAATATGGCTCAATGCAGGTAAAGTTCTCTGATACCCCTTTTCCACAGAACTGGTTCCATTCTGGTTTGTGCACCTCGTTTTTAACCGTTTGGAACACAACCAAAAATAAACTGGTTCGCAACCCGGGAAGTTGGTCCCCAGCTGGAACCAAAGAATGGCAGGTTTTCCTTGACCTGGGGCCGTACTCACAAGCATTCTGAGAACACTCTCAGAGAGCTCCTATCTTAGCCTAAAAAAATAGCAAGGAGTCCTAGCTTAGGAGTGACTTAGGAATATTCCAAGAGCAGCTCTGAGCAAGGAAGGGACGGAAACTTTACTTTAGTGAGGAGGTGTGGTTAACTCGTTGCTAGGTATGATGCATTCTTTTAACAGATGTGATTGGTTGCCCTTTTGTGAGCCTGCAAGGTGTGGACACAAAATGGAAATGAAATTAACTGCATCACAATATAAGACTTACAGTGTTGTCATTGTTAGTGTGATCACTCTGCTGATGGAAGATTGAGACACAAAGAAATCCAATTTTCCAATTGCCAAATATCTTGTGTCGTGATCATTTTATTGCAGGTGTTTTATTGTTTTTGTGTTGGATGGAAGACATGAGTGCATCTCTAATGAGATTGATCACAAATATTATCCCTGACCAATCTAATATGTGGCATTTATACACTCACTGTCAATCGGCCTTTGGAGAATATTTCATCTTCCCTTCTTGTCTTTCTGTCATTCTCTCCTCTTCCAAGAAACTCTTAAGCCTCTTAAAAGTCCTCTGTCCTACTCCTAACAGTATTTCACCTCAGGTGCTCTCTCAGGGGCTGAAATGCTTTGTGAAAACTTTTATCTTTACCTGGACCTTGTCTTAACTTTCAGGGGAAATTTTTTATAAACTGTCATAACTTTAGGAATTTTCTTAGAATTTGTCATTAGGAGCAACTCTTTGTGCGAGGGAGCTTTGTAAATACAGACCTTGAAATGTGAACTGTGACAATATCAGTGGGTGTTTCGCATTTTATAAGTTGGAAAGAAAGGATGGAGTCTTGCACAAAACATTGCTCTATATCTTCTTATCATTCGTAGTTGGTTGGTTTTTGGATATGACAAACATCTGTAGTCTGTAACAGAACAAAAGCTCAAAGGTAATCAATGCCATCAGCCATCTTGTTACTACTGTTTACTTCCATTGTGCTTTGTACAATGCTTTCAGTTGATAAACCATCCTTGATTGTAATAGTTCTAACTGGTGGGAAAGCAGGCTGGTTGCTAGGTAGTCCCAAGGTTCCAAGAATCCTGAACTGAACCAGTTTAAAACCAGAGCTAAATTAGTGGGAAAGGGGTACGAGTTCCTTCAAAGATTCCTGGACAAGTTCCTGCAGCCAAACCTGGTTGATACTCGGGTGTGAAAACCTTTGTCATACCTGCTCAGTCACTGTCAACAGCACAAAAAAGACCATCAACACAAGAGATGGAACAATGTTTTCAGATTTTGAGATACAAAAGGGCACCAGAGTCGCTGACTGAGCCAAGGTACAGGGCAAAAGTCTTACCTCATGAGCACCAGTGATGCATAATTTAATGTTTAAAACACTGTGGGTAAATAGGTTCTGCTTTCGTTTACAACCGCAGTCATGCATGCAATCAACCATGTGCACCCAAAAACACACTGTCCATTGGAGAAAGATCACTGCTGCTACACACACCCTGAGCTCAAAACTCCGCCTTGCTGACCCTGAGGGATCAACAGTGAATCAAGATGAACAAGACAGGAGCTCCATCACTCTAATGCTTTGAAGAAAAAGTATCAGGACAGAGACAGGGCTCTATTTTTGTTCCTCTGACGCGCTCCCAGACAGTATTTCATATAGCCACACACGGTAGGGCTGGAGGTATGGTCCATGAAAAATGTATGTGGCTGTAACTCTGCAGCCTGACAGACCTACATGCTGCTGCTGCTGCTGCTGCCGGTTGGGACGAAGGAGACGAAGGGAACCACCCTTCATTCCTTCTCTCCTTCCCTCTGCCACTGTTTCTCTGAACAATTAAGCCTTTAACGAGGCATATAATCTGATCCAGCCCAATCAGATCTCATTTGTACAGTTAATGCGTTTTTGTTTCTATTGCACAAATCATATTGAAGAGCTTTGTTCTAATGTGGCTTGTCGCTAATATAAATTTAACCACCCAGCAGCTTTCAGCTCTGGGATCATTAAAGCTTTATGTAATTTAATCTACTGCAATATACAGTGCAGCGATGGGACCAAGGGAACGCTGACTTTTGGACTCAATTAGGTGCTGTGGCTGCAGGAGACTGTCAGTTTGATTAATTTGCCATGGCAAAATATCATTTCCAAACTTAGGTTTCCATGGATGAAAATGGAACATTTTTGTTCTATAAAAACAATATACTTTAAAGGGGAACTATAGTGCTCATTTTATGGTTCACACTTGTATTTTGGGTCTCTACTAGAACATGTTTACATGCTTGAATGTTCAAAAAGCACTTTATTTTCCTTGTACTGTCTGTGCTGGAACACCTGTATTCACCAAATGTCTGAAACGCTCCGTTTTAGCGCCCGTCTCTTTCAAACCCCCTCCTGAAAAAGCCCAGTCTGCTCTGATTGGTCAATGTTTGCGGGTCTTTCATATCTGTGCTGTGTCTCTGCATCATCATTGCAGGTGGGGAATGACTGTAACTGATTATAGCGGCATTTTTTACCATAAAAAATCTTCCAAATTGAATATGTTCCAGCAGGAATATGATCCAAAATCAGAGAGAATACCACATCAGCAACCGAGATCACACGTTACCCTGACACTGACATGTCGTAACACGTAGCAGTGAAGGCTACGTGATGTAAACATTTGCAGTAGTGTTCCTGGAGCAAATGACCGTATGAAGAATTAGCTCATAAGCTGGCATTGGTTTGTCTCAAAAGTAGGAAAAATCATTGTAAACAGACGATTCAGAACAGTCTGAAGCCTACAGTTTTTGCTCACAGGGATTACTTTAACATACGTTCACCTCACTAGTCAAAACTTTGACCATTTTTTATATGAGCACCTGACATTGGAATATATATAGTATATGACAGAAAATAAGGAAAAGCATAATAGCTCCCCTTGTTCAGGCTCCATGCAAGTGTTTAAAGCCATTGATGATATTTAAGCCTTCCTTTGACACTGTAAAAAATGCTGTTGATGTACCAGATTTTGGGACCTAAAGCATTCTGCTCAAGCCCAAGGAATCCATCAATCCATCACTGTGACAAGGTCTCTGAGGTGAGTGGACACAAGGTCAGTCACAGCTGGATGTTTGATAAAGTATCTCCTTGTTCTGCCCTGCCCTCTGTCTGTCTGCCTCTGCCTCCATCCCGCCGGAGTCGTCAGGGCGGTTAATAATTGAACATGTGCCGGGAAAAGAGATGGAGGGAAAAAAAGACAGCCTTTTCAAAGTGCCGCTCTCCTTCTTTTATGCCCTCCTCTCTCTCTTTATGTGTGTGTGTGTGTGTGTGTGTGTTTTTGTCTGCTATGCCTGCTGCACAGTTGCACTTTAAAATATTTATGTTGACATTTTACATTTTAGCCATTTGGCTGACGCTGTGATCCAGAGCTCCTTACAATGGAGGGCAACAGCAGAATAAGCTTCAGTTCATAGATCAGCTACGTTACAGGTGAAGCACACAGAGGAGGCGAGGCTTTGAGTTATAGAAGAGAAAAACTGGACAGAGAAACGCACCATGAGCTGAAAACACATCTACCAATCACCAGCCAAATTTCTTTTTTAAGTTGAAAAGAACCACTGAAGATCAGTAAAACTTTGATCATGTCAGATCACACACTGTCTAAACACAGTATCAATTCATTTGTGGAAATGCGTTAATTTATTCAGGTTATTATTGGACCTCTCTTCTCCATTTTAGGAAGTGGATACGAAGTTTCGAAATGGCAACAAACCAAGATGGATCATATCCATTGCCATACTGAAATCATGCCCACTTGTTGACAGCATTCCCAGGGTCTTGTTGTCAGTGGCAACGGTATTGATAATCCACCAATGCATCTGCACTCTTTGTGTACTGAGATGAAACATGTCACAGTACATTAACAAACCTTTAACACCAGCAAAAATAACCAAACTGACTATGAGTAAATAGTGTTGCATCTCACTCAGTCTGTAACATTCAGACCTGAGCTCTCGCACACTCCTCACTGTATTAATCTTCACGGTGTAATGTTCTGCTATTATTGATCAGTCATTGATTGCTTATTTCTTTGCAGTGGAGCCGCTTCCTGTCAACACACACATACAGCACAGCTCTGTCGTCATGTTTCCTCTTATATTGACTGTGAGCACTCTTCTCTCGTTGTCTGTGTCACTCATTTCCTGGTCTCAACATTATAAT